TTTTTCTTTTTTTTTGTGTTCAGCCCGACTCCCACGGCCACCCGACACCCAACCACCCGAAAATCACGCCCGACCCCCCCTTGAAGACCCCGTACGGACGGTCGGAATCCCGTACGTACGGGCCGTACGCACGGTAGGGGTCCCGTACGAACGGGCCGTATACGTACGGACGTACACACAGGCTTGAGTATCTGGAAGAGTTCTATGATAGACAAACCAGCCCGGTCGTGCTTCACCTGTCAAAGAGTCACACGGTCGTGTCGAACACGACACTCGTCCAGCATTCGAGCGCTCGCGGCTTGACCAAGTGAAGAAACTCACTGTCGAGTTGAACCCAACAGTGGGATCGGGATCAATCGCCGGTACAAGTGGCAAGGCTTCGGGACCAATCGACGTTGTTTCATTTGTCGAAGGGTCACACGGTCGAGTCGAACACGACAGGGGTCCACTATTGGAGCGCTCCCAGGTTGACGAAGCGAAAAAACTCGTGGTTGAGTCCAACCCGACACAGCAATGGGGATCGATTGCCGGTGCGAGTGTCAAAACTTCGGGACGAAAAGGTGGTGTGACTTGCGAGGGCGTGAGTACAGCTGACCAAGTTTGGATGACTACGATACTAGTGGGCGACAGTGTCGCTATGGAAGTGAATATTACTGGTACACTCATGGAATTGCAGATGTCGTCGTCGACGATGCCAGCCGAAGTAAGCGGCACTTTCCAGGACACTTTTGAGGGCGTAAAGGAGGAAGAAACTCTCCATGTACAGGGCATCGAAGAGGATGAAGGACATATAGTACTAAGTACACCGGAGCAAGTTGTACTTGTACAACCTCAACAAACGCTTGAACAACCTCAAACACCACAGTCTGTTAACCTCATGATAGCTATCGAGGAATCTCCTATTGCGCCATTGCATATGGAAGGTGTGACAGAAGGTCGTGTTGAAGAAAAACTGAGAGTTAGCCATCGAGGTGAGCACTTTCTTATCTTAGGAGCAATATTTAATACTATATGCGGATTAGTGGGTACATCACATGCACTCATCTCCCATTGAGTCGATCCCTCATATGTATTTTTTATTTACCTAGCTTTGGAACTGTGCGTTTTCTAAAGAGAAATACTGCAATTGTTTTGTATGAAGACTTAGTGCAATTGCCATATATTTTGTATTGGTATTCATGAGTCAGTTTCAACAACGGAAAGTCGGCCTTGTAACTCATTATGTTTTATTTTGTCAATCATGCAGGGCGACAAAAAGAACTGTGGAAAACGACATATGTACACTCGCAAAGGAAGAGAGAGAAGAATATCATTCGTCGTGGTTTGCAAACTTTGTCAACTTCGCTATTATTGCCAAAAAATGAGAGAAGAAGTCGTACACCCATGACATTTCCATCTGTGAAGCCAACTGCCTTAAGCATGTTTAAAGTTGTTGGAATAAGCCTCACAGAAGGGAAGAAATTGCATCGCGCAGGTTGCAGTTTATCTGTTATGGATAGCAACAGTGATGACGAAATAGATAGACAACCAACAACATGAGTTCATATCTATGTAGTCTATCACTTGTTTTTGTGTGAAGTCTTAGTCGCTCTATTGTTGTTTATATGTGTGTTTGTATGCAGTGCATGACCCTTCGTTCCAGATTCCTTTAGCAACAGTACCCCTTACTGTAGAAGAAAAGGAGTATCTTGAAATGATTACTGGCAGCACTGAAGAAAATGAAGAATACGGTATTGTCGATTACAAGGGGAGGTGGAAGGTGGAAAAGAAAGACGTCATGCTCGCCGCCAAAGATGGAGAATGGTTAAATGATGAAGTCGTAAATTTGTACCTGCTAGCCGTTCTGATCACCAATGACTACATCAAGAAGGTGGATTCGACATGTGCAGAAGTGGCAAAAGATGAAAGTTTTTGTAGCATTTCATCTGTGCATATTCTAATTTTTTTTTTCTTTCCCAGATTGTCAAAAGCTCAGTCCGCTGAAATCGCATACTCCGAAGGAACGAGATGGGTGAAGGACATAAATCTTTTCAATTTTGATTTGGTAATTATCCCTCTCCATTTCGAAAATCATTGGGCCTTAGCTTATGTCAGAATAGATCGCTCTGAGTGTACATTCGGCCTCGTAGACTCTCTCCATCGTGTTGACTACGGTCGAACCCTCAAACTTTTGGCAGGTTTTTTCAGAGTGGAGTTTCAACGACAAAATCTTCGGGAAAAATATCATGTGGAGGAGCCTACATCCTACTTTGACATATCAGTAGATGGGATTCCTGCTCAAGAGGATTCTTCTAGTTGTGGTGTTTTTATGTTAGGTTTTGCATCTTTGCTTGCAAAAGGTCACTTCCCTCCGTTCAGTTTCTCATAAGATAGTATTCCTTATATGAGACTTAGAATAGCATTTGACATTTTGTCCATGGTTAGATAGGAAAGTCGATGAGAATTTCAGGTTCTAGGTTTGAAAAAATGAGGTTGACATGTTTACTTAGTGTGAACATTCCGGGTGAAAATGTGTATTGTAGGCAATTTTAGAAATATGTTGACAATGTATAATGATATTTTCCAGACTTCTCGTCAGTTGTTGATGAGGTTGGCGTGTTTTATTGAGTGACATATTTGCAGAGTGGATTGCCAATCCTTGAGTGACATTTTTGCAGCTTGTGTACGTGTTAACATTCAAGGTGAAAATTTTTGTTTAATTTCCTTCAAGAGCTTTCATGTATAATCATTGTTTTCTCGTTGTTTGCTTATTTTTCCCTCAGTTCTTTGTGTCATTTTACAATTAAAATAAAAAGTGAACATGAAAACAATTCCACTTTTAACGAAAACACCGTTGCATACAGATGCAGACACAGAATGCCCTACAAGCGTCAACCTTTGACCCATTCATAGCAAGTCCCTCACGCCCCAAAACCTTGAAAACAACATTCCTTCCTAATTCTGACTCTTTTTTACCCCAGCCCTTAAACATTTTCAAAGATCTCCGAGTGTGATTTGGATAATTTAGGCATAGATACAAGGGGAAGATATATCCATTTCCTTTTTAGGTTTTGTCTTAGGTGTGGGTATCAAGCCATGTGGAAGTTGAGTCGGAGTTCTACCGACCTGTTATCCAATGATAACAAAATTTGCAGTTCCTTATGAATTTCTTCCATAGTCCTCTCCAAGAGTGATAAGGCAGGCTTCCCGAAACCTCACTCCTCTTACCACCTAGTATATATGTTAACATGACGATAAGGCAGGTTCTTAGAGCCTCGCTTCTCTTATCGTCTAGTATATAGTATTATGGTGGTAAGGCAGGCTTCTCGGAACCTCGCTCCTCTTACGACCTAGTATAAATGTTAATGACGATAAGGCATACTTCTTAGAGTCTCGCTTCTCTTATCGCCTAGTATATAGTATTACGGTGGTAGGGCAAGCTTCCTGGAGCCTCGCTCCTCTTACCATCTAGTATATATGTTAATATGGCGATAAGGCAGGCTTCTTAGAGCCTCGCGTCTCTTATCGCCTA